AGTTCATAATTTTGTTGGGCTTCAACTGCGTAGGAGCGCTTACCCAATTGAGCATGGATTACCTCTACTCCAACGATGTTGAAGTTGCTGGCCACCAGCTCTTCAATTCGTCTTGCCTCTTCATCCAACTTATGTGGTAGCATCTTGACAACGTAGATGCTTCCAGTATGGTTGTCAATATGGCGTGCACATTTGATAGCCATGTTCCACTCCTCCAACCCAGCAAGCAATCCCCGCCGAGCATCCATGCGGTGCATCTGGTGACCTGAAAGGCTGACGATCTTGAAGAAACAGGACAATGTAAGCAGCGCGTCGGAGCCGGCGTGGTGTTCGTCGCCGTTACGCGGAATTCCAAGGTATTCAGCTAGTGCGGTGAGGCTCCCATTGAAGCCATCCTTCACCAGCTTCCCAAGGACGCGCACGTCGTAGACGACTGGGAACTTCTCCCGCACTTTTTGCAGGAAGGTGGCAAGCTTAGGCGGCAGGAGGCAATTGCCGCCATGGTCTCCCCCTTGCAGCAAGCGGAGGAGGAAAGCCAAGTCATAGTCGCCGTGAAAGGCGACCCAGGTGACGGAGCCGTCGCCGAACGGGAGGTGGCGCAGGAGCCCCTCGTAAACAAACTCCGGCGCGACGCCTCTTTTGCTGTGCTGCGTGAGATCATGGCCTTGACTGGATAGGAAATCTATCGACTTGCCATGGTACTTTGGCGAATTGACGTTGAAGTCGAAGTTGATCTCCAGTGCTATCAGCGGCGAGGGAGCTTGTTCGCCTTCACCGACGAATGCAAATGTGAGGCCCATCTGAAAAATGCCACCTCCGTTCACGTACCTGCGCATGTGTTGGTAGCAGCTGATGGAGGTTACTGGCCTATGGCTCACGTTGGTGGCGGCGTCCGCTGCGAACTCCATGTCGACGGCGATATAGAGGTGGCGATGAGGTTGATGAAGCGCTTCCAGCACGAGCTTGAACTGCTCCATGCAATTCTCCCGCCACACGCTCTGCACGGTGGCCGTGGCGAGGTGGTACACCAAGTTCTGCTTCCCATCAACGCCGGTGTGGCGCAACCAGGGAACGGCTGTACCGACGTCGTCGAACACCAAGTTCCTCTCCCAACGCGCGATAGTGTCGTGCAACCCGGAGACGATGGTGCCAACGTTGTCGCAGACCATGTTCTGCTCCCCGCCCGCGCCGGTGTGGAGCAACCCGTCGACGTCGGTGCAGAGCACCAAGTTCTGCTCCCAGCCAGCGCCGGTGGTGTGCAACCCATCGTCTTGCTCCGCGCCCCCGACGGTGTGGTTCGACCCGTCGATGTCGTCATCGATCACCAAGTTCTGCTCCCCGCCTGCGCCGGTGTGGTGCAACCCGTCATCAGTGCTGTCGAGCAGCAAGTTCTGCTCCGCGCCCCCGACGGTGTGCTGCGACACGTCGACGGCGGTGTCGAGCACCAACTTCTGCTGCTTCCCGCCCGCGCCGGCGTCGAGCACCAAGTTGTGCTGCTTCCAGCCCACACCGGCGAGGTGCAACCCGTCGTCGGCGGCGTCGAGCACCAACTTCTGCTGCTTCCCGCCTGCGCCGGCGTCGAGCACCAAGTTGTGCTGCTTCCCGCCCACGCCGGCGAGGTGCAACCCGTCGTCGGCGGCGTCGAGCACCAACTTCTGCTGCTTCGCGCCCGCGCCGGCGTCGACCACCAAGTTGTGCTGCTTCCCGCCTACACCGGCGAGGTGCAACCCGTCGTCGGCGGCGTCGAGCACCAAGTTGTGCTGCTTCCCGCCCACGCCGGCGAGGTGCAACCCGTCGTTGGCGGCGTCGAGCACCAACTTCTGCTGCTTCCTGCCTGCGCCGGTGTGGTGCAACCCGTCGTCCTCGAGCACCAACTTCTGCTGCTTCCTGCCCGTGCCGGCGTCGAGCACCAAGTTGTGCTGCTTCCCGCCCACGCCGGCGAGGTGCAATCCGTCGGGGGCGGCGTCAAGCACCAAGTTGTGCTTCTTCCCGCCCACGCCGGCGAGGTGCAACCCGTCGTCGGCGGCATCCCACGCCGGCGAGGTGAAACCCGTCGTCGGCGGCATCGAGCACCAAGTTGTGCTGCTTCCCGCCCACGCCGGCGAGGTGCAACCCGTCGTCGGCGGCGTTGAGCACCAACTTCTGCTGCTTCCCGCCTGCGCCGGTGTGGTGCAACCCATCGTCGTCGGCGTCGAGCACCAACTTCTGCTGCTTCCTGCCCGTGCCGGCGTCGAGCACCAAGTTGTGCTGCTTCCCGCCCACGCCGGCGAGGTGCAATCCGTCGGTGACGGCGTCAAGCACCAAGTTGTGCTGCTTCTCGCCCACGCCGGCGAGGTGCAACCCGTCGTCGGCGGCGTCGAGCACCAACTTCTGCTGCTTCCCGCTCGCGCCGGCGTCGACCACCAAGTTGTGCTGCTTCCCGCCCACGCCGGCGAGGTGCAACCCGTCGTCGGCATCGTCGAGCACCAATTTCTGCTGCTTCCCGCCCGCGCCGGCGTCGACCACCAAGTTGTGCTGCTTCCCGCCCACGCCGGGGAGGTGCAACCCGTCGTCGGCGGCGTCGAGCACCAAGTTGTGCTGCTTTCCGCCCACGCCGGCGAGGTGCAACCCGTCGTCGTCGGCGTCGAGCACCAACTTCTGCTGCTTCCTGCCCGTGCCAGCGTCGAGCACCAAGTTGTGCTGCTTCCCGCCCACGCCGGCGAGGTGCAACCCGTCGTCGGCGGCGTCGAGCACCAATTTCTGCTGCTTCCCGCCCGCGCCGGCGTCGAGCACCAAGTTGTGCTGCTTCCCGCCCACGCCGGTGAGGTGCAACCCGTCGGCGGCGGCGTCGAGCACCAACTTCTGCTGCTTCCCGCCTGCGCCGGTGTGGTGCAACCCGTCGTCGTCGGCGTCGGCGTCGAGCACCAACTTCTGCTCCCTGGCCATGCTGGTGTGCTGCAACATGGGGACGACGGTGCTGACGTTGCCGCAGACCATGGTGCTGTCGAGAGAGACCACCGCGAGAGTACAAGGTGAGTCCCGTCGTCTCGCGTGTCACTCTCAACGCAACGATATCCTCTGACGTATTGAACACTGCCTCTCCTACTGGCACCGGCCAAAAACGATGTAGCTGTTCTTTTTAATTCAAAACTATGCGGCCCCAGGTTGTGTGGGGCGGGACGGATGGAGTGGTGGTTAAGCGCGCGCAGGGAGCGAACGCGTTCAACCGATGGACAAGCAGTTTTGGTAATATCGAGTTGAGTGGAATTTCTGGCAAATTTGCGCTACAAAACACTTGATTGACTTGTTCGTCAACTGTATGCGTCAATTGTTTATTACGGCTGATTCAGACTATGGGTTCGACGATATGTCAATGGTTGAAAAGCAGATGGAAGGATGAAGAGGGAAGATTGGGGATGAGGAGCGACGGCGGATGGATGGGCCGAAGAAGCGCGGCGCCGAGACCGGGGATGACGCCGGCGGGCGGCGGTGATGGATGGAGCGGCGACGCGGGATGCCAAGGGTTCTACCAGCAGCTAAGTAGATCCGCATCACCAATTTCTGTTTGGAACTGTCAACCAATTTATGTTTTCCTTCGAGATGATTACTGTTTATTCTCTTTTTTCTTCCCACAATGATGTTTTTGTCATATTTTCAACTTTCAAGTTCCAATTCAATGGAAACCGCGATATGAGATTGGCGTTTGCTGTACCTCATCTTCATGCTGCTACAATATTAAACCACTCTGTGTTCTTTGAATATGACGCTGGATCTCTTTTAGACATGCTTGGTTGTGATACATCTTCAAAATTGAAACATACATAGAAAGAGGACTTCCTTTCTTAACTGTTGAAGGGTGGGTGTGGGCCGTGGCCCCAGTTATTCACTGATGTGAAGTTCTTCTGTAAAATTTTACAGTGGACTTACTCGCCAAACTCGCAATAAAACGGTAATTAATTGAACAAAAAAAATCCTAAGCAAACTGAGTTGATCTCTCTTTTTTTTAAGGTTATCTTCTTTTTTCAGTCTTCGAGTGCGGTATTGAAATGCCTTTTTTCAGTCTTAAGAGTGTGCTATTGCAGATGGAGGATAGAGCAAAACTTGAGGAATTTAGTAGCGATAGCGACTGATACGCCAAACATTTTCATGCAAATTCTCCAAAGCGATCCTGACTGAGAATGTTTTCTAAGAAAGCAAGAACTATGCCTTGTGTATTGATAGAGCAGGAAAACAAATTTATTTAGAGTTTTGTGGGAGGGAGAATCACTCCCCATTTATACAAGTTAATACAAGAAGTTAATCCTGTTTGAGATTGCACAATATTTGATATACATTTGACCATGTAGTGTTTTCAGGAGACTGGGTCTTCGTGTGTGTGTGTTGTCCTTATTGTTTCTCCTGTGAGGTCCTGTTGTTGTTAGATTCTTTGGTCTGCAAAACTCTGATGTGCAGGTCTTTTGTATCCTTTAATTTTAGCTGGCATCCCTAGCCCTGAAATTTCTGCATCCCCAACATTTGGTTTCAATAACGACAGGGGGTCCTACCCTTTATAAAAGAAATGTATCATACTAAAATCTAAGCGTTCAGCTTGAATTTTCTTGAATCTGTAAGTGAAAAACTAACAGTTGGGAGGGAGCAAACTAAAACAGAATGTGAAGAATTCTCGCTGGTACATAACATATTTCCAATCTTATTTATTCCTCATCTCATCTGCTAGCATGATCCGAGAAAAAAAAAAATCAGAATGTGACTTGAGTTTTCTGTGTACACTTATGTGACGTGATATGAGTTCTAATATAACATTTGATGAAGTTATACCAGCATCACGTTGTTTGCCCAGTTCTTCTCCTCGTGTATTGATTGTAATATCTAATTACAGATCAGTTCATAGCTCAAACTGGACTTGATTACTGATAGCACAAGATTTAAAACGGAGCAAGATTAAGATTAGGGTATGTACATATATACAAGTGTTAGGACTGCGACAAGAAGCTGTCGAAGCAAAACTGAGGTCGCTGTGATGACAGTTGCAATAGTCTTCTCCAGTTTCTTTCGTAGTGAGGATTTCAGAGATGAAATAATAAGACCACTTTGTAATTCTAGGTGGATCAATTATTACAAGCAGAAGACAGATAGTGAACTTATGGTCAAGAACTGCATATACCAAGGTCTGTTCTACATAACATCCAAAGTTTCTTACGACAAATAGGGGGAAGTAATCTTTGTTAGGTCTGTTTTGCAATGCTTTGCCGGCCTGAAGGAGAAGCCAGATGGAACAGTGGGAATGCAATATTCAGATCCAGGAGGGTTCCACAAGCAGAGGTACGCCAATAAGAGAAACTGAAAATCACTATGGCGTATCCGATGAGACACTGTTTTGAATTTCAAACCTTTTGCGAAATACGCCATGCTAAATCAGATGGTCACCACACTGAGTGATTATGCATCCTCCATCCATCAGCAATTTGCTGGGCATTTCCAGCAGCAGCTCTCCTTAAGCAGCCCTTGGACAGCCATCGCCATGCCTGGGAAATCAGGACATTCTGCCAATCTCATATAGCATTTCAGAGTAAAAGAAGATGACATGAATCTACATAACCCGAAGATGTAAACAGTTGATCAGAAGATTGACACAATATCACTTAAATTGAAGATGATGGCATATATGTTATTTAAGTTACATAATCTTAGTTTTTAGCCCAATGCTTGAAGTCAACCTGATCAGTTAGTAAGAGTTGTGACCGCATAAAACTATTTGACAGCAGCAGACCATGCAAACAGCTTAACATGATCTATTATTCAAGAACATCATTATTAACCATCAGCAGGTTGTATAAGGTCCAAAACAAAAGGGAAAGAGATCCAGAGAAATTGTTTCAGTACAGAGAGCCAGGAGGATTAACCTGTTACTGGGCATACAAGAGATCAAGACCCTGACCTTTGTTGTTGGCTCTTTGGCATTGTGATAGCTACGATGGCTGGTGATCTGCTTCCTCACTGTGCCGACAGCTTCCGGGGACGAACAGTTTGAAGAGTCCCTGATAATGCAATATGAAACATGTAGAAATTTTCTTCTAAAAATACCTCAGGAAAAAAGGGCATAACCGCATCACAGCAACAAGCAGACCAAACTGTTTAGTGGCAGGTGTCTAGGTGATCTCCAACTGCAAACAAAGCAGGGCATCATTGACGCCCAATGCATGAGTCATGAGAAAACAAGCAAGAAGCAACCATGAGAGGAGTAAATTTTCCTTGAATCGAAGTATACAACATCATTTTGTAGGCACAATTGGCAATAGCATGCAGAGGAGTAAACTATGCTTCATTCTTTTGCATCTGTTTTTTTTCTCGGTCCATGGATCTACAAGCTCAAATTGTTTTAGCATATTGAAGGAAGGAGATGCTACAACATACCTGGAGAACAGAATATGTATGGCTTTATTGAATCTGTGGTGTCCTTCATCATGACAAGAGAAGAGTGCTGGTTAAAAAGAAGCAATACGCATCATCCACAACTTCTGCATATGGATATACCACACCAAACGAATGAAAAACACTCAAGAAGTTAGGTCACTAAAATTAATAGCTTCTTCAGTTCAATACCAAACTCCAAACGCATCCTAAAGGGGACATCCATAACAAACTTCACAGATGCACAACTGTTCAACTAGAACTGCAAACTTCTCTTTAGGTAGGCAAGCAAAATACACCTTTCTTTGAATTTCAAGGGGAAAAATATCAAAAGAAGAGCTTGTTACCAGACAAAATTACAATCTAAAACCAGAAAACAAAACTGAGCACCACAAGAAAGCTTTGAATAAATAGATCAAGATGAATGTTCCCTAGTAGTAGCTTGAGTTTGGAACAAAAATACATTTGATCAGGGTATATCAAGGTATTACGAATGTCAAACTGTCAATTACTTCAGTTTAACATGCAAGTTTACTTTCTCATGATCAACAGCTCAACACCATAAAATATAGAAATATACCATGATAAACCCCAAAACAAAGAGAGAGCATATCATAGATACAACAGGAAAATATAGTCAAACAAATTGGCATATAAGCAAGATCAACAAATTAATCTAGAGTTCTAGACTGAAGAGAAATGAAAATAATTTCAGAAACTTAGCGATACCTTTTCTAGTAAAAATCACCATAAACTTACAGATTAGACACAACCAAACTAAAGGAAATAGTAAATTTGAATTTGCATTGGCTGCTCATTGAAAATTTTCATGAAGGAAATTGGCCATTCCAGTGTTGTAATTATGGTCTACAAGAAATGAGCACATCTTTTGACCCAAAGTATGCAAAATGCTACCAATTCACTATCATGTGAACAAAGAAACTTTTGGAAAGGAAGCATCTAACTGCATTTCCATGTATTGCAACAATAGAGAACCTTCTCAAGCAGTCCATTGGCAGTGCTATATCATATGAGAAAAAGGTGAATCAGGGAAAAAGTTGATTGTTGCTAAGCAGCGTAACACTGTGAAACTGAACCACTAGCTCAACTTCCTAAAGATGCGCACACATCAGTAAACCTATACAGGCAGTAAAACTGAACTATGTCACAAGCATTTGGCTGAAGAGACATACCAGTAGAAAGAAAATGGGTAATGTGCACACAGATCAGTTGTACTTGAACCACATATAATGGATGGACTTGATAAGAGTTTAACAACTGTAACCTCACAATGTCAGTTAAATTGAACAGATGATTCAAGTGATCAAGTCAGCTGTGTATTGAATAATTTTCTTCCATCAAGTACAAAAATATAGTGTAGAACAAGAACCAGCAGAACCCTCAGATATATTGAAGTGGACTATCTACAGTTGATCCTTTTCCTTTTATAGACAAAACTATACAGAAGAAGTACATTCAGTCACTAACTAGTTAGTCACAGCTGATTTGGGAGCTGCATGTACGTGCTTGAATTGGGTAGGCACCCGCCAACAATCATCCGACCATAGGCAGCATAGGCACTATCAGTACTGCCGGAAACACTGTACCCCCTAATAAGAGCGTTATATGTGAAAACGTTAGGCTTCCAGCCTTTCGTCAGTAGCTCTTCATACATTTTCCCAGCTTCAGCAGCCTTCCCTGCTTTTCCTAAGTGGAGAATTAGTGAATTATAAGTGTACAAGTTCGGGACAATTCCCTTCTTCTGCATCTCATTGAATAGAGACACTGCTTCCTCTAATCTTTTTGATTTTCCAAGACCATCAATGAGCAAATTGTAAGTAATTAGATCAGGTTCAAGACCCATTTCTAATAATTGCCTAAAATATGTTAGACCATCATTTAACTGTCCTGCCTTGCAGAGTGTGTCAATAATAATCGTGTAGGATTTTATATCTGGGTTTATTCCCTGGTCAACCATATCCTGAAACAAATGACAGACCTTCTCTGTATTACCAGCTATTCGATGTCCATTCAGTAGTATATTGTAGATAGTGCAATTGGCCTTGCATCCATACTCCAGCATCTCATTGAAAAGATTTTCTGCATCTTCTATCCTTCCAGCTTTTAACAGACCATCAAGAAGAGGGCCATATGTGCATGGTGTGGGTGAGAAACCTTGGCTCATCAGGTTGTAGTACAAATCAATAGCCTGCTCCAACCTTCTTGACTTTACAAGACCTGAAATGATTGTGTTATAAGTAACATAAGTTGATTCATATCCCTTGCGATGCATCTCTTCTTGAACTTTTAGCATTTCCTCTATCCGCATTGACTTTCCCATGGCATCAAGAAGTAAGTTGTAAGTAAACTCATCTGGACCACAACCGAGTTCCTTCATTTCAGCAAACAAGCCTTCAGCAATATCTATTAGGTTTTCATCAACAAGCCCACAAATCAAAGAATTATATAATCCAGTTTTTAGTGAAACTCCAAAGCTCTTGAACTTTTTGACAAGTTCATGTGCTTCAAGAGCTTTCTTCTGCTTACAGAGATGCTTAATTAATGGGCACAAAAAGAAATCATCCAAGGTAATACCACTTGATGCTATGATTTCAGCAAACTCAATTGACTTTTCGATGCCAGCCTTCTTCAGTATCCCTTCCATTAGTGAATGGCATGAAGACCTATCTGTTTTGGAGCCAGGTTGGAGGAAGTAGTCCTTGATAATATGCAGAGCTTCCTTCATCAGTCCAATTTTCACAAAACTTGGGAGGATAGTACACAGTGTTGCATAATCTGGAATAAGAACCTTCTTCATCTGACAAAAAATACTGAATGCCTCATTATATCTTTCTTCTTTAACAAGGCCATATATAACAGTGTTGTAAGACGAAAGATCAGGTATGCATCCTTTCGTAGTCATACTGTATAGCATATCAAGTGCATCATTAACTGCCCCGTTCTTGCAGAGACAGTCAAGAATCGTATTGTATGTTATCAAATTAGGAGGATAATTACTGTGGTACATTTCTTCAAGCAGATGCATTACCTCCTTGACTTTACCTTCCCTTCCCAATCCTGCCAAAAGTGTATTGTAAGTCCCATCTGTTGGCTCTAGATTCATTTCTTTTAGTTGATAAAAGATCCGCCAGGCTTCATCACCCCTGCCTGCCTTGTAGAGTGTATCAATCAAAGAATTCACGGCAAGAACATCAGGAACACAATTATTTTCAATCATATCATAGAAAATCTTCACAGCTTCATCAAATTTTGATGCCTTGCTGCAACACTTGATCATCATAGTGTAGGTGATAGTATCCGGAGAAACCCCCATAGCTTTTAATTCATGAAATACCCTTTTTGCCATGCCAAGTCTACCAGATTTGGCAAGACCAAACAAAACAGCATTACCAGCAACAACATCTGGCACAATCCCTTTGCTCTTCATTAGTTCATATCTCTGTATTGCCTTTATAGATTCACCAGATTTTCCATAGTAATTTATGAAAAGAACATGTGTGTAACCATTTGGTTTAGGTCCATGAATATCCATATGTTTAAACAGCTCTAAGGCATCACCAAATCTATCAGCTTTAAGAAACCCCGATATCAGCGAGTTGTATGAATACTGCTCAGGCACTATACCCTTTTGTTTCATCTCATCAAACATTTCCAAAGCTTCAAAGACCCTCCCAACTTGGCACAATGCATCAATAACTGCTGTATAAGCAACAACATTGTCATTGTACCCATCAGCTTTCATTGCATTCCAGATTTCCATCACTGATTGCGAGTCACCATTGTCACCAAACTTATCTAACAGAGTAATGTAGGTCACTCGATCAGGTTTTTGATCACTCTTCTTCATCTTCCAAAAAACATCCTTGGCATCACTGATACGGCCAGCATCGCAAAGAACCTGTATAAGCACGGTATGGGTAATGACATCCGGCTTACACCCTTCATTCTCCATTTTCGCAAGTATCCGATAAGCTTCATCGAATCTTTTGGCTTGTCCAAGAACTCGAATACAGATGGTGTAGCTATACACATTCGGCTTCACGCCATGAGCCTCCATTTCACGCAACAACCAAAGAACCGTCTCGACATCCCTCCTCTTCCCGAACGCCACCATCAGCACAGAGTAGGTTCTCACACTAGGCACAACACCATCCACCATCATCACCCTATAAACCTCCAACGCCTCCCTATCAAACCCGGACTTCACAAGGAAATAAACCAGGCCATTATACGTGTACGCGTTCAAGACAATCCCGGCCTCCTTCATGACCGGCAGCGCCACCGGCGCGCTCCGGAGTCCCCCCTCCACACCAAGCCCTCCGAAGATCGCCGCGAACGTGCCCACGTTCGCCTTGACGATCTGCCTCTGCATTACGTCGAACACCTCGGCCATGTCCCCGACCCGGCCATGGCCGCGCATGAGCTCGAGCATGTAGTTGCACGACGCGGTCGTGTGGGCCACCCTGGGCTTCCGCGCCGCCGACCTGAACCGCTCAAGCGCCTCGGCGGGGCCATCCGCCGACCTGAGCGCGTGGATGACGTCCTCCGCCGCCCTCCGCTCGTCGCACGGCGGCGGCGCGCGCGGCTGCACCCGGGCGCGGCCGATTCGCCGCTTACTGGGCCGAGACGGCGATAGTCCAGGTGAGGAAACCCCCGCAGTCCTCGACGACGGCGGCGACCCGCCGAGGACGCCGGAGCAGCAGCAGACCTCCAACATCCGGCGAGCAACAACGACAACAACAACACCTGAAAAATTCCCAAGAAGCACCAAGAAACTGAGAGAATTTCAAGAAACATCAGCGAGAATCCAACTTGAGACGAACAAACAAACTGTTACTACTTGTATTAAGGTTAAGTATCGGAAATTAAGAGAGGAGCTTAACGAAAGCAAAGCAAATTCCAGGCAAAAGTAGTCCCGGTGGGAGAGAGAGAGATGAATCAGGAAGAGGATGTGGATGCTCACCACACCAGGATCCCCTCCCTTGCTCTTGCTCTGCTCGCCAGATGGAGATAGGCGGCCCTCCCCTCCACTCCCCTGTTCAGCCGCGAGATGGCGCAAGGAGTGGAGTGGAGACGGGAGATATTTTTTTTCTTTTACGCCAGGGAAGGGGGAAAAGATAGGGGACAAGTATCCGAACAAGAGGTGAACAATGAAAAATGATTCAGATAAGGCCACAAGGGAGATAGAGCCTCAGGCATAGGCTATGCCCGATTAGATTCATAACTTTTTTTTTTCTTCAAACTTTTAACTTTTTCTTCGTATCGAATTTTCTTAGCCACACAAACTTTTAACTTTTTCGTCACATTGTTCTAATTTCTTCAAACTTCCAATTTTGGTGTGGAACTAAATATAGCCATAGATAGATTAGAGTAGAAGAGAACGGAAGGGCTCGTAACATTTTGGCACATATTATAGGGTCCTTTTTTTTGCATTTGTCAACTAAGAGAATAGGAAGTGCTCCAATCTACCGCGTCCATTTCAAATCTAAAGGCTAGCAATAGGATATCGCATTCTCCCACCGAGAAGTACTATTGCACTGGATACTTCCCAACTTCCCGGATATTCCCTTCATTCTATAATATAAGGGATTATTCTCTACTGGGTAAGATTAAAATACTAGAATATCCTATTAAATGATATTTGCTTATGGGTGATTAGGTAGTTGGGAGTTGTAGAAATTTGGACATGCTCTCTTCCAAATTCACAGTTTTAGGATGTGTCACGAGTACCAGGTAAAAGTTATACACCGATTTAAAACCACACAGTAAGGTAATAAATAATTATTAAGTGTAATTCTTTTATGATGAAAACTTTAATATGGCACTAATAATAATTACATCACATGTTGTTTATAGATTTCGTATGATAGTAATACAAACAACGAAAATTGATGAATAGAATAGCCTGTGCATTGTATCAGGAAATAAAAACATTTTGAAGCTAATAAAGTTCGTGCGTTCACCACACCACGCGTCTACGTTTGATCATACTGCTAAAACAAAACAAAATATGCACACAACACCCCCAAGGAATATGTCTTCTAAACGACGCTTCCAAGGAGGAAAACGATGCCAAAAGCGCCACTGCCGCCTGTCCTAGAGAACCAGGACGTGGTTTTCACCTGAAGGACCCATTGGGAAACGATAGAAAACACAGCAATGCCCCAAGGAGGAAAACGACGCCAAAAGCGCCACCGCCGCCTGTCCTAGAGAACCAGGACGTTGTTTTCACCTGAAGAACCCATTGGGAAACGATAGAAAACACAGCAATGCCCCAAGGAGGAAAACGACGCCAAAAGCGCCACCGCCGCCTGTCCTTGAGAACCAGGACGTTGTTTTCACCTGAAGAACCCATTGGGAAACGATAGAAAACACAACAATGCCCCAAGGGGAAAACGACGCCCGCAGGCGTTGCCATTGCCGGCTCACCCATTGTTCTACTCTCCCGCGCTAAAGAGTGCATGCCAGTTCAGCAAAACCACCATCTAATCCCCTTCGATGCGCAACCACCACGTCGACGCCTCGCCGCCGGCCGGCCATCAAAGAAGAGTCTCAACCCTTGTCGTGCTTCAAGTCCACCCACGTGATTGGGTTGGAGAGGGAGAGGGTGAGAGAAGAATGGATCCCCTCTTCCCCCACAAAAGGCCGTAGGCTTCAACACCCCCCTCACAACATGACCGTCGTCGCCGCCTCGACCGGGGCGCGCGTGTTCCAACGGGTGCCTAGTCGCATCGTCGTCGCCTCCGTTCTCTCACTGCGACAGCCTCCGTCCTCCTCACCGTCCACTGCCGACCACCGGGAGCGTCGCCACCGCCGACGGGCTTTACACCGCCCTCAGCCGCTCCATCGCGCCGTTCAGTCGTCTCCTGTCGCCGGCCACGCGCACCAGCTTCCGCTACCCACGTGATTGGGTTGGAGAGGGAGAGGGTGAGAAAAGAATGGATCCCCTCTTCCCCGCAAAAGGCCGTAGGCTTCAACACCCCCCTCACAACATGACCGTCGTCGCCGCCTCGACCAGGGCGCTCGTGTTCCAACGGGTGCCTGGTCGCATCGTCGTCGCCTCCATTCTCTCACTGCGGCAGCCTCCGTCCTCCTCACCGTCCACTGCCAACCACCGGGAGCGTCGCCACCGCCGACAGGCTTTACACCGCCCTCAGCCGCTCCATCGCGCCGTTTAGTCATCTCCTGTTGCCGGCCACGCGCGCCAGCTTCAGCTGCGGCTGCCACCGTGGCCTCCACGAGCGCCGGCCTCCGCTGCCACCGGCCGCGCCTTTGCACACGCCGGTTTTTGCCGTCGCCAGCCACGCCTCTACTGCCTCCGCCGCCGGCGGCCATTGCGTCCTCCGCGCGTGCCAGTCTCCACCGCCGCCGGTCGCAGCTTCGCACGCGCTAGCCTCCTTCACCAGCTGCCGCCAGCCACCAGACGCCGCCGCCTTCGCCTCCCGTCGTCGCTGCCCGAGAGCGGCTTGCTCCGGCCAGATCCAGATCCACCCATGGGGAGGCCGGATCCAGCCGCGGCGGCGCTGAATCTGCCGCCTCCACGCCGTGTCTTCAACCTCTGCTCCGCGCGCCGGCCCGCCTTCCATGCACATAGCGCCGTCGACGTTTGGCCTTGCCGCCGCCGTCCCAGCTGGCCGCTCGGTTCTCCGGTAGCTGCGAGGGGAGGGAGAGGAGGAGAGAGTGGCAGCGGCGGTGCTAGGTTTCCCCCCGAGTCGCCCACGCGTGGGCGACCTACTACATTTCTGAATTCTTTAACCTAAAGGAATACAGAGATAACCTTTCTGAATCTTGAAGCCGGAAGATGTTGCTTACAGGAGATACTGACATGAAGCTTAGGCGATATGAGTTTGCAAGTAACGAAGTTGATGAAATGATAAGGTTTGGGTGTTTCTTTTCTCCCCCTGGAGCACTCTTCATGGAGAACTGCATTCGTGAGTAAATTCATCGACTCTAAATTCATAGTGGATTTGTGTTTAAATTGCTTAGTTGCATCTGAAATAATTCATGAATACTGTAATTTGAATGTGACCATTCGTCTGAAACGTTCAACCTGAAAGAATTATAATCCATTTGCATAACTTCTACATGAAGATTGGTCTATCGATGTCTTTCCTGTGATTATTGACATGAACACATACTGCCTGACAGGAAACGTTAAGTCCTTAAATTTAAATTAAATGTTTTTTTACAGCCTGATGTCCTGCCGTCATCTGATACCCCAGCAAACAAGATAGACATTGTTATGTTCAGTCGTTGAAAGCACAGAAGACGCAGCAGAATCATTGGCATTCAGAGCATGACAGTAGCGAGCCACAGGAAATGTGAAACTCTATCAGAAAGAGAATCAAAATCCAATGAGAGTAGCAATTCTCAGACGAACTACCTGTTTTTGTAGCCTGAGACCTTGATGGAAAAAAATGAATTGCAGAAGCCACCCAAATGCAGCATAGTTTGAAATAAAATGCCTTGCTATATTATACCTATATCATATTTGCTATGGAAAGAAAACTATAACATATTGAACTAAGCTTAGATGGCCTCATTTAGACAGGAAAGCCAAAATTTTAGATACATATGCTTTGTTTTGAGCACTAAAATACTAACTCAATTACAATGGGGATGAACCCAAGAACATGGCCTGCTCAAAGCAGTGCTACAGCCTCTTGGAGCTGACATCTCTCATCTTCCCTTTTCATTTTATAGCTAGTTTCCCGCCAGAACAAAATGGTTCAAGTCTCAGTTCTTGATTGCACACAGCCACAGAAAGGTGCCCTCTTCTTTTTCTTCTGCGCACCGCCGCGCTTCTCCTTCCTTCCATACAGATAATCCCTCAGAAGAACCCGAGTGCGCTTATCGGAGACCTTGAGCCTCCTGTACTCATGCTCCTCTTCAAGCTTTAGCAGGACATACTGTATCTTCTGAAGTTCCAGTTCCAATCTCCCCACGTTTTCCGATCCTTTCTGGACCTGTCCGGATATTTTCCTCCTACTGGGGTACCCTTCTTGCTCCGCGTTCATGCTATCTGATAGCGCAGGATAGTTCTCAACCCGCTTTGTCAATTTGTTGTTGTAATTGATCTGTTCCAAGACACATCCCTCGGTATCGAGTAGCTGAGTGCTGACGGTGTTGTATTCGGAGTTCATGGGCGATTTCCCGTTTGATGGGCTCCCCATTTTCCGCTTCAGCTCCTTGATGCTCACTTGGATGCTCTGCAACCTCTGAGCATCAGAAGAGAGCTTCTCCAGTACATTGTTGCTCCATTGCTCATGAGGCTCTACAGATGATGTCGACACCTCAAGCTTATTGATTCCAAGGTCTCTTCCCCTTGCTAGCTCAGAGGAAGGGTACTCACTCTTCACCTCCTCAACCGCTTCTATGTCGTGCTCAGCTGATGATGATTTGGATGTTTGGTTTTTGCAGCTCCTCTCGGCAGCTTCCCACAGCTGCAGCATCTCGTCATCCATCCCAGCATTCGCGCCATTCTTAAGTGGGTAGAGCGCAGCTCCAGTGCCATATGGTGGACATGTGGATATTTGATCAAGTTCGATATCCTTCATCATCTGTACCTGCTTCCCTTTGGAGCCCTCGACGTTGTTCAGCTTCTCATTGTCGGAGTATATTTCCCTTGCCTCCATCTGCGACCCGCCTCTTGCTTTAAGCTCTTGAATATCTCTGTGTGCTGCTGCCAACGTAGCAGCAGACTTGGTTGACTCCTGATCATGAAGATCTTTGGCATTTCGAATAGCAACTTGAAGTGCTCCCATTCTTGCAATTAACCGCTGTAGCTCTGGAGTTCCTTCCGGCAAGGGGTGAGATTCTGGCCCATGGTTGCGCTCTTGCATAAAAGGTACCTCTGCATCTTCCTATGAAAAAAAGAAGATAAGCTGTTAAATAGGGAGGTGAGAAGTAGACAACGCTAGTTCAACATGATAAGGTGTCACACCCATGTCACGTACGAAACTATAATAGAAATATTCAGGTACTACCATTAGATGTTAGGAGGATGATCAGCAGCAAAAATTTCAATAATACTACTATACTACTATTGAGCATTCTATACTGGTGATGTAAGTCTAAATGATGGCTAAATTTTGCTAAAATGTAAGAGCTGCTTGTTGCTTTACCAGGCAAAAAAAAAAGGAAAATAATTCCTAGTCAACAAGATGAATGAAGAAGCGTACCTTTTTGCTTTCTGTGCTATAGGGCTTTGACAGAGAAAGAGTGTTTTCTTCCAGCTCATTGACATGATCAGACAAAGATGCTATCAGAGCTACATGTGTGCTCAAGTTGGCCTTTAGTTCTGTATTTTCCGTCATAAGTTCAAGTGCCTTCTCTTCATAGACTGCCGCATTCACTGAAGAGGATATCGCATCATCCATCAACACAACAAATTCCCCTTCATGTTGTTCAACCTCTTTCGACAGTAATTCATGTGAGGAAGTCAAACTGTCTTCCTTGTCTTTTAGGATGTCAGCTTCCACCTGCAGTCTCTCGTTTGCTTGGCGAAGAAGCGAAATTTCACCATCTTTGGTGTTTCCCTCTTCAGTCAACGTTGTGATTTTCTTCTCGAGTTCCTCTTTCACAATTTTAGCCCCTTCAATGGCAACCTGAAGCGAGCCAACAACTCCACATAATTCTCGGTTCTTTCCTTGCAACAAATGAACCTTATCTTCTGCTTCAAGTAGCTCATCATCCTTCTGCGACAGCTGTGCCATGCAGCTCTCAAGTTCACTGGCCAACTCCTGGCAAATGCTTTTGTTGATATTCAAATCAAACTCTGAGAGGGCTAACTGAGCGCTGAGAATCTCTATCAGGTAGATAAAATACTCCTTTAGGTTATTGTTTTCCGATTCAAGCATCATACCTCTTCTGCTAAGCTCTTGGACTTCGCAATCAAGTTCATCCTTACCTACACTCAACAAAGCCATCTCATCAGTAAGAGATCCCAATGCAGTTGCTACCTCATTGTTATGGCCCCTAAGGAACAAAGACAAGTGCTCGAGCCTCATGCATTCTGAAAGAAGGGTTCCATTCTCATCCTCCAAAGCATTGTAGTTCTCAATCAAAGACTGGTATTCTTTACACAAGGTCTCATTTTTCTCAGTCAAGCTCACAATTTCATTTTGTGAAGTCTGGTAGGACTCTCTTGAGCAAGATAGCTTCTCTTGTAAAACAAGTATTTCAGCTTTCAGAACCTCTTCCCTTTCACAGCCTTGCTGTAACTCTTGCTTCAGCTGTTCGTTCCACTCCAACATCTGGACATTGTTATTTTGCAATGTAATGAACTCTGCTGCCCTAGTTTCCAATTCTTTCTCAAGGGCACGCTTCTGCAAATTCAGATCTCTGAGTTCCAATCCTACTTGCAACATAACTGTTGCGAGAACTGTCAGCTCAGTGTACATGAGCCTGTTTGCATCTTCACTTTGCTCTTTAAGTTTCATGATGTTGGAGGCTTCATCTGAGACAGTCTGCAAAATAATTTTGTCCTCCGCTATATTAGCAGGACCTAGATCCTTGCATATATTTAGGATCTTCATGTGCTGTGAAATCCCTTCTCTTAGTTTCTCAGTATGAATTAGCAAAAATTTCCTCTCATCTTGATGATATCTGGCTTCATCCTTCATCTGTGAAATTAACATCTCTGCGGCATGATTTGCCTCTGCAAACTTTTGGCATTCATTGAAAAGATCAACGTTCTTGTCTTTCAAATCAGCCAAACAGTTCTCCAAGATCACTACATTAATAGATGCACTCATGTGGTTCTCCTGTTCCTGTTCAAGCAACTCATTCATGTAATAGCTTTTCTTTTGCAGAGAAGAGATCTGCTCCTCAAAGTCATTGACTTGTGTTTGATGTGACTTAACAAATGCTTCATATTCTTCATCCTTTACTCTTAACTGATCCTGCAATTCTCTTACTTGATCATATGCAAGATTCATCTCTCTTGATAAAGAGGAGCTCTTGTCTTCCAAATCAGCATGTTTACTTTCCAGGGCTTTCATAACCACTGTAACGCTCTCCAGCTGAAAAACAAAAGTGACAAAATAATGTTAATTACATACAAGGATTTAAGTTTTAAAAGAAACATAGCAAGAATTTATCTCTATTACAGAAGGAACTTCAGTAGTTACCTGAGAGAACACATTGTTCTTTTCATCAGAAAGAGCTGAGTTATTTGCAAGGTGAGCCTGGCAGGTTTCTTCAGAATCTGTCAGCTTTGTTCTCAAATTTTCAATCTCAGCTTTCATATCAGATATTAAGATATCCAAGTTAGAATTTTTCTCTGAAATATCAGCATAACTTTTACCAAGAGTTTCTAGATCTGATGTAAGGATAGCCTTTTCAGAAACGTGAGAGGAAATTACATCCTTCAGAGAGCCTTCTGAAGTTTCTAACACTTTAATCTTCTCCCTCAGTGAATCCATTTCAGCATTTGCATCTGAAAGTGAGTTCTCCATGAGTGAAAATTCTTCAGAAAGCTTCTCCACCTCTTGAACCTTTTCTGAGAGAAGTGCCTTTTCTACCTCATTCTTCGCACACACTTCCTTCAGTTTTAAGTTCATGATCTGCAAGTCCTCAATCAACTTCTGGTTTGCTGCTGATCTGCTTTTTAAAGTACTCATTTCCTCAGCGAGAGAATGGTGTATCCCCTCTAGATTTTGCTTCTCTTCTTTTTGACAAGCAAAGTCTCTCTGAAGTGCTTCCTTTTCGCCTATATGTAACCCCATTTCACTCTCAAGTTTCACATTCAATTCCTTCAGGGCATCCAACTCATGATGAAGTTCTTTTATCATAAGTTCAGTGGAAACATTCTTTTCACGAAGGACATGGATATCCTGTGTGTGCTTGGCTACGATATTCTCAAGATCTGTATTACTGTTCTCCACCTCACTTAACTTCACTTTCAGCTTCTTAGTTTCCAGGGTCAACCTATTCACTTCCTCCTGAGACTCAGAGTTAAGATTCGTCATTGCAAGGAGAGCTGCTTCACCTTCACTGCGCTTATGGGCTTCATCTTGTATGCTGATTTGGAGACTATCCACTTCTTCTTTCTTATGTTTGAGTTCCTGCTCCAGCATCTGTACTTTCCCTTCAATTTTCTCCAGTTGAGCCTGCAACTTTGAGAGTTCAGACTCCAGATCAGATATTCTCACCAGGGACTGCTGGTTCTTAAGATCGGTAGCATCTTTCTCGGCATTTAGAAGTAAGATGGTGCTATTAAGTTCAGATGACAAGTTTTCCAATTCATTCAATTTGAAATTAAGCTTCTCAATCTCTAGATGCAATCTATTCACTTCCTCTTGAGACTGAGAATACATACTCTCCATTGACATGAGTGATGTTTCAGCTTGAACCCTCTTCTCAGTTTCGTCTTTCAGGCTCAACGTCAGGCTGTCCATACTTTCACTCTTCTGTGTGATTTCTAGCTCCAGTAGCTGCATTTTCTGTTCAGAATTCTTCAGTTCCAACTGTGTTTTAGAGAGCTGTAGCTCCAACTCAGATATTTTCGCCAAAGATTGCTGTTGTTGCAGAAGTACTGCATCCTTCTCAGAGTTTAAATCTAAGATTGTGCTTTTTAACTCTCTTGATGTGTTTTCCAGGTCTAACTTTGCATTTTCCAACTCTTCCAGTTCCTTTGTTGATCTGTCAAGATTTTCTGTCAGCTTTATCACTTCCTCTTCCAACTGAGAATGCAGATTCTTAAACCTGTGAAGATCTGCTTCAGTTTGTGTGTGCCTATTGCATTCATCTTGCAGCTGGGCATGGGCACTATCTGCTTCCTGTCTCTTCTGTTCAAGATCTTGCATCAGCATCTGAACCTTCTGTTCAATTTCTTCCAGCTCAGGCTGTAGCTTCAAGAGTTGAGATTCCAGATCAGATACTCTTTCAACAGACTGCTGGTGTTGAAATAGGGTTGCATCCTTCTCGGTGTTTAACTGTGAAATGGTGCTCCGAAGGCTTTGGATTTCATTTTGAAGTTCGTTCTTTGAATCCTTCAGAGAATTAATTTCATCGCGAAGTTCTTGTATAAGCAGCTCGGAGGAGCGGTTTTGTTCAGTAAGATTCTCGACTTCTTTCTTCAACTCAGAAACAGCATTCTCAAGATTTACTTTGGTCTGCTTGAGCTCATTCAACTTTTCATTTGCCATCTGGATTTCCTTAGTCAACCTTTGTACTTCTTCTTGACATTGAGCAAGTTCTTTCCCCTCTGAAAGCAGAGCACTTTCAGCCTGCATGCGCTTATCTTGTTCTTCCTGGAAGGTTAAGTTGAAGCTTTTCAGTTCTTTCTGCTTTTGTTCAAGTTCTTCTTGCTGCATCTTCACCTTTTGATCCAAAGCCTCAAGCTCAGACTGTATTTCACTATTGCGTGCTTCAGCGCTACTCAGCTTCTGAACTTCTGTAGCCATTTCATCAGTTAGCTTCTTGAGGTCATCCTGGGCCTTAGAGAGCTCAGACTCCAGAGTAGATAACCGCTCAGTGGACTGATTATATTGCAGCAGAGACGTGTCTTTGTCAGAATTCAATTTCAAGATGGTATCCTTTAGAACCTGGATTTCATTTTCAGCTTTGTTTGCCCTCTCAGATTCTGATAATATCTGTTGTTTCATGCTGTTGCTCTCAGCTAATAATCTTGAAATCTCTTGTTGCAAATTTACCATCTCATTGCTGATGGCATCACTGCCTTTAACTTCTGGGCTTCCAAAGCTTAGGCCTTTACGCACTTTCACATCAAAACCTTTTCGATTTGGCAGTGCACTGGCTTCCTCAGGGTGTGTACCATTCCTCTTGGAGGTGAATTGTTGTGGTGACACACCTACTCCATCCTTCTGCAGGTCATCCAAATCAAAAGGGAGACGGGTGAAAGTGGGCAGGTCTGGAGTATGTGGTTCCACTTCTTGGCCCGAAGAAGCGGGTGACTCATCAGACATTGGTGGCATCTGATTGGGAAATGCTTCAGAAATTGATTTATGGGCCTGTCGAAGTGCACCGGTGGCCTGATCATACCTTTCTGCCAATGCACGGTAAGCTCGGTAGAACTCCTCCACCAGTTTCATTAGCTCTGGGCGTTTCTTGTAGTACATCTCTGCTCTTCGTGCAAAAGAATCAGCATCTTCATTGAGAAGTTTGATCATAGCTTTAACCTTTGAATCCATGTCTGTTGCATAAAACAAGATTAGCTTCAACCTTGGTTATTGACTTGTTGCTAAATGATATGAGTGAATATGCAGGCATCAAACTGAAATTCAACTACAAAATCATCTAAGTGTTTCAACCCCATGGGAAAACAGTTAAATGGAAAATGAGGCCCTAAGAAGAAAACCCGGAACCCCAATCATTATTTATCCAAGAAAAGGCATGCACATATACTACAGATAGCTCAAGGCATAGTCTTAAATTGCTTTCAAAAGTTCGAGGGACAACAGAAGATGGCACAAGTCACAGAATCATACAATATAAGTTCATGAATCAAAACTGAGAGATTAAAATATTACTTCATTTACTTGCAGCATAAATATGTCAGGATTTAGCTTATATTTTACAAGATTTACCTAATACTATTTAAAAAATCATATGCATACTCAAATTGCTAAATTAGATACAGACTGTGTTGAACCTGGCATCAAGGCTAATCAGGACGGGGATAAAAAAAAGAAAAAGTGTTTTGCATGCACACCATGTGCCTTGGAAATGTATTGCTAAATAGAAACAATTAAAGAATAGCATACTACTGACGGTTTGGTGAGCAAATATAAAGTGCAGTGCTAATTACAATTTCATGATATGGATCAAAGAAATGCATAAACATGACTAAATGAGCTAAACACAGAAGAAGACCCACCATTGAGATTTTCTTGGAGCCATTTGGAGTTCTTGGGGCTGATATGACTAACCCACCACCATGAATACTGCCTCGCGTCATGACCGACCAAGGCCGCCATTGGTGCCACAAAAGCAAAACTCCAAACAATAATTAAGACCTCACTTCCTCAGCACTTGAATTATGCAACAATGCAATATTCTGCAGCTCCCAAAGCTAAGAACTGCCTTAATTTTTTTCCCCCACTCTTCAGAACAGGAGCGAAACCGAAATTAAGAGAATGAAAGGCACAGAGAACAGCCACTGCAATTTGGCAATGATTGTACCTACAATATCAGAAACAGAAATGGTACAGATAATATCAACTAAACAAGTTGTATACACAGCTATGAGCAACAGTAGTCTAGAGTAGTACTTACAGGTTCTAATTCTCCAATTAATTGAAAGGGCAGGAAGATACACTGGCAGGTCGCAACTCCCTGAAACTGAATCATAAAAATGTATCAAGCAACAATAAGATGAGGAAAAATAAGAAAAAATAATTGTTGCATGCACAAAAAAGCAAACACACCACCAGAGTAGCCACCTTATCCTCTAATAACACAGAATTCCCATCCTCCGATGCAAACAAACACAGAATTCTCTCAACGATGACCGGTAAAACCGGGCAGGATTCCAAAACAGAAGAATAGCCCAGAGTCAAAATTCCATAAGCTCCTCGAGGAAATCGCGAACAGCGATGTTACGGAAGAAGAACACCAGGAAGAAACGAGATCGTACGAACCACGAACCAAGCAATCCAACCAAATCATCAAGAAGAAAAGGGCAAGAAACCGGGGGGAAGGAAATTCATCACATGATCAAATTCCACACAAACATTCCTTAGGCTTGGCACCGACTGCTCTTCTTTTGTCCCACCAACCAAACCAAACCACCACCACCCCGTCAACACCAAACAATTCCTCCCCAGCAGAAACAAATCACATAAACACCACCAAGAACCACAAAAAAAATCGGATCTTTCAAGCACCAACAAACAAAGATCAATAAACCAGTAACCGGAGCAGAAAAGAAAAACCAAAGATCCAATCCTGCAAATCGAGGGGATATAGAAAGGGAGAGAAGAGAAGCATACCAAGTGGAATCCCAGCAGCAGCAAAGCAAAAGCAGTGGCCTCCTTGGATCCACCAAGTCGCCTCCTTTCTTCCTCCTCCTCCTCCTCCTCAACCCATCCTGCCTCCCCTTCTCTCACAGTCTGGAGTCTGGCTTCTTGCTCTGCGCTGTGCAGTGCTTGCTTCGATGCCACCAAGAAGAAAGGCTGCCTTACCACTGAAGGTGGTGGTAGGTCCCAACAAGAGAGAAAAAAAAAATTGAGCAAGAAGAATAAAAAAGGGGAAACTTTTCTTCAGGAGCAGTGAGTGATTCCAGTGATTTGATTTGCTGCCTAATACTAATGCGATGAGCTGTGATTTTTTTTTTTTTGGGAATAACTGCGTCATTACTGGGATTGGAGTATTTATTTGGGTGAAATCTAAAACTAAATGCTGGTGCAACGGTTTTAATATTTGGAATTGATGGTTTTTGGTTAAGCAAACTCTGTATTGGGTTGTTGGCATTTCTCTTTTGTTTGACTACTGAAAAAGGTTAGCTTTTTTTTGTTGATTCGAATCGAAATGATGGGTTTTATAGGGGGGTGTTTGAATTTTTGTCTTGAATTTTTTGGCATTTAATTGAACAGAATTTTTCATGTTATGGACAACCCTTTGTGGCATTTTCCTATTGTACAGGAATCTTTTAGATAAGTAAAGAAAACTTAAAAAGCATGCTGAACTTTGTATGATACTACATGATAAAGTGCACCGTAACTTTGCTCTCACACTAAGCATTTTCATGCTTAGTCCGCATCCTTCGTTTCATACTATTTTTTAATGCGTAACCCATCATGTGCATATTACCCGGTTAGTATGTTAACTATGATTTTGTGTGTAAGCAAAGTATATATGTAGCTCATTAGTAAGCAGTTAAGCACTACATTAATGGTGGTTCCAGCAAGATTTATAGAGTACAATAAAGACGTATGTAGAAATTTTTAGAGTACAATGAAGGTGTGGATTTAATCCATGAGCTTATCAAATGGTTTCCATTGTCTTATTGGTTTTAAAATTATATGCACCTAAAATTTATTTTCTTAAATTTTAATATTAGAATTGATTTTGGGACTTTTAATTGTTTATTTTTCATTGCGAGTTTTTAAACCAGTAATAATACAGATATAGAGTTTTATCTTAAAAATAAGTTTCGTTCATTTTTCTACTGCTTACATTTCATCTCAGCCTTTAAAATGACATTTGGTTGTGCCATGTATTTTATTTTTTTAATCACTACTAAAATGCAGTATCACTCCTTGAGTAACCAATATGATTAATTTTTGTCATGTCCATGTGATCCAACCTCCAAGCCTCCCCACTGTGATTGTGTCACTCAACAATGTTCTTTCTTGGGTTCTCCATCAGGACAAGTTGCCAGAGTCCATTCCAGACCAGAGCTGGTAGTATTGTCTACTCCTAATAATTAATTAAGCCGTTTACCAAGGGATTTGCTTCGATTGGATCATTGTAGGCCGCTGGTTTATCCGATTGATTAGTCTAATCCGGAGATCAAGACACGCGGCAGAGTAATGATCCCCATGTGAGCTCCTTGTGGCTGCAGAGTTGTCCGTGACAAATTTCACGTTGCTTGGAGCTTTTGCTTCCGTTCAGTAGTATGCTGCAATGTATAGAAAGGCATACCTTTTTCTGTTCCTAATGTAGAAATTATGGCAAAATTGCGTTTCTGATAGAATTTGGATGAAATTTGTCTGTAACTCGTACTCGCAAGGTAAAAACAACGCCAATATACAGGCCATCCGAGCAGTCATAATTACTCTTTTTTTAGTATATATAGATTTTTTTAAGTAAATTCTATAGATAAAATTAACGGTGCTACGAGGGTCAACAATAGTAGAGAAGTACTAGTATCTTCTAATCATGATGCTATCATTGTCAATGTGCATCACATTGTTTTATTGGAAGACTCTTATACATAATAGAGCGGATGATTAACTTTGCTACATGAAATGGTAGGCGAAAATCGATCGGGTGTGCAAAAACAAATCGCTGGAAAATTTTCTCCAGTGGCTGCGTGCCGCCGTTTCCGACCTTGAACCAATTTATTCTTCTCTTGGATACCCCAGGATAACGACGGTTTTAATTATCTCTCACACTAAATCAAACCCATTTTTAATCCCGCGGTGGAATTTTAAAGCCTGGCCGGTGGGCGCCGCCAGGCGGCGGCCATGTGGGCCCCACCCTCAGCGAGTGCAGCCACAGCATCCTTGTGATGCCAGCATTGCAGCAAGAGAAAATTAATATTTTTTTTCTCCTTTGTAGATGAACACTGTTCTTGGCTGTGACAGTATCATGTTTCAGATTAGCAGTTCTTCTTCAGAAGAAGAAATGAGAATTTCCTTTTTGATTCATTTTTCCAGCAATGTTGAAAATCCAAGAAATGAGAATTTCCTTTTTGATTCATTTTTCCGGCCCAAGCCTCCGGCAATGACGGGCCTCCGCTTCGCTCCGACAGAAGCTGGCCTTTATTATGTGCAAATAAATTTTCATCACAACTCAACATCATCTGCTCGCAAATTTGTAGTCGAGAGATGTAGATGAACTATTCTTGGCTGTGTCACAGTGTCAGTGTCATGTTTCCGAGTAGCAGTTCTTCGGATGAAATGATTTTTTTTTTGGAAAAGTCTATACGTACTAACTTTTTTTTACTAAATTCTTACTAACACTGACATGTCATGCTATGAGTGTATCTAGATTTTTTATAACTTCCATCTGCTTGAATCAAACAGTTGAGACGATTGTTCGAACAAATTTAGTAAGAAAAATTTAGTACGTGTAGCAATATTTTTTTTTCTTTTCGAGTCATTTTTCAGCAATGGTAGAAATCCAAGATAGATGTTGTACTGTACCAACTGGTTTTTTTTTATTATACTTGATGACAAGTAAACTTTTCTCTGCCCGCAATTTTGTAAAGGGAAATCAATAAAAAGAAACTGATGATGAGCAGAAGAGTGGTTGGTTTGGTTGGTCAGATGATAAGCTGCCGTCAGTCGTTAGCCACCATCAGCAAAGATTCTGACATTTTGGTTCCTTCCAAACAAGTGGCTGCAATTTCTTACTAGCTTGGAGAGGCTGATTAGGCGCCGGTCTAGCTAATCTGACAGCGTGGATAGATGGATTGCCACGCTAGGCTATAGGCTTGATGGAGCCATGGGCCTATTCACTTTGATGCTATTTTTAATCTTACCAAATTTTGATAAAATTGCTAAAAAAAATAGCTACATTTAGTTTGCTGTCAAATTTTAGTAACTGTATAAGAAATTCTATCAAAATTTTGGCAATACCAAAATTTGATAAGTTTTTTTTTGGCATCAAAGTGAACAGGCCTTTGTTTCAGACTTAAAAATCACCAGACTTCAGAATCCAAATGCAACTTGGAGTCTACTACAGTTCTTCCAAGGATCAAACTGCTTTGTGGGTGTTTGAGGTCTCTGTGCAAGAATTGCTTGTGGAAATTTGTCTTTTTGGGGGTTCTTGATGATTTGCCAGCAGCAAGAAATAGATTTCTAAAAGCTTTTTTTTTAAGAACAATAATAGCAGCTTGGCAATTGGCACTGCAAAGCTGAATTGGGCATTTGTTTTCTTCAGAGAGAGACCAGGCCATCTAATCAAATCTGATCAAAAGTTCCTCAAAAAGATGTGATCAAGGAAGCAGAGCAAGACAAGAAGCCAGTTGGCCGAGATTCCAACAGCTGTTACTCCTAACTGATGGAGTAGTAGAATTTGATACAGTGATCTGTTCAAGAACCACAAGCATGCAATGACTGACAGAACATCATTGTAACTTCTGAAATCAGAACAGAAGTTAATTTTATCAGGATCAAGAAAGCCGCACACAAATCAGACAATGATATTACTTCTGTCACCCCAAACCTGAATCAGAATGATCAGTTTGCAATGGTCCACTGCCTCTACCATTGCACCATGTCTCCCCCAAACTGTCTCTGAAATCATGGAAGCGGTCCATCATAGTACCTAGTCATCATCCTCCCCTGCACATCTGGAGCGGCCGACCGCCGTCTGATTTCGATCCAACGGCATATAACGGTTCATCACAATTCACATGGCATGGCCCCAGATAGCTGGGGTTGCGGCTTTTCCAGGCCTGAAATCTCTCATTTGCCGGTCAGAAAACGTCATCAGTAACTTCCCATTGCTTTGGCAGCAAGTCTTCAGAGAAAGACTTTGTTACCCCATCAGTTTCCAGAATTAAAGAATTGGCCACAAAAAAAGCAGCTCAACCAGTACAGTCTTAGTGCACAGTAAAAAATAGCTCAGGCTTAAACACAATCATTAGCATCTAAAAGTTGCCTCCTTTATCCACAGGCCCCATATGTTAAAAAAAAAAGAAAAAAAAACACCCGCTTACTCACAATCAAAATTCCTTATAGAACATAAACACAAACAGTCACCGACAAACAGGCCCAGCGACAACATCACGAATCGTGATACGCATCCCACCTATATATTACTACAAGAGAGGTTTTCACAAGAAATCCTTCCAATAATTTATCATCTCTTTTCTCCCAAGCTGGGAAAAATGGAATCTCAATCGATAAAAGAATTCCGAGCAGAAGATCCAAGCCCAACTCGACCGACCCACGGCGTTGCAAGTACCATCATCTCCATTAATGCCAGAAAGGTTGGGTCCGATCATGGCCAGACAAAGATGTGCATCTGATTGGGTCCCACCATGATGGAGACGACTAAGCTTAAGCTAGGAGACGCCCAAATACTTGACAAAGCTTTACATGATAAAAAGGTAGAGATAATTGCACAGGGAATTTGGGCATCGAGAACAAAATGCCTTTCGGCACGCGACGAGAGAGAGCTTTGGATTCGATCGCCTTCTCGCGTGCGCACATGGTGTGTTCGTATGATCCCTGTATAGTTGCGTGGGATTGAGATCCTCTGACGTTACTGTTTACCATGACTGACATGTGGGCCCATCACTCTCGGGCCCACATGTCAGCCACCAAGTCATAGGGAAGTAACGTCAGAGGATCTCAGTCCAGTTGTGTGTATGGCCATTTTTTCTAGAGGTGTAGTCGCATCATGGCGAGGTGAGGTCCTCAGTTCTTCTTAAGCCAACGGATGACGGATTATTGTGGGCGCATTTCCTAATATTTTTACGGTTTTGCTAAAAGACTGGTGATACTTTTTTTTTTGGTTGAAACTTTCGATTTTTCAACGTTTGAAGCCGTGCTGGGATTTTTTAACCGTTTGATGTACTTGAAGATTCGTGCTGAGCTGAGAAAAAAATTAGCAAACCTCTCAGTTGATGGGAATCAAACCCAACACATCTTGTTCACACCACGCGCAGGATACCAACTGAGCTATGAAAGTATTCTATTATTAATATACAAGTTATACGTAGTTACACTGCAATTACTTCCTCCGTATTTTATCGTATGACGTCATTGATTACCAACGTTTGACCATTTGTTTTATTCAAAAAATTTATATAATTATCATTTATTCTATTGTTAATGGATTTATCACCAAATGTTTTTAAGCATGATATAAATATTTTGAATAAGACGAATGGTCAAGCGCTGTCCCAAGGCCCAAATGGGTTCCACCGCCAGTGGGCTTAAAATCGATTTGTGAAGCAATTTAGATCCCTGCAGTGGGCTGCCTAAAGCCCATTGACAGTCCTATAACGACCGTTGGATAAGAAAACAATGGTTTTTTTTTCTCTTTGGCTACCTTCATTTATAAGAAGTGACTTATACACCCTCCATCTAAAAAAACTTAAATATGGATGATACATATCTTGGTATAACAAATTTGGACCTGTACAGATTCGGGAGATAGACAACGAGAGGGGGGCTGCTAGCTGGCGCGTGCAGCGAGCACTCCTCCCCCTAGTCTTAAGTAACTATATTAGTTAATATAGTTAACACTAATGATATTAATTAGAAAAGATTCTGGAGATTTTTTTGGGAGATTTCATTACTAACATATTGAAAATTTTTTAAGTTAGATTTGAAAACTTTCGATTTAAGTTTTAAATTTTAAAGTCAAATTTTAAAAACTTTTAACTTAGATTTGAAAACTTTCAACTTGATATTTGAAAACTTTCAACTTGAGAATCAAGATTCGAAAACTTTCAAGTCCAAGTTTTTAAAATTTTTAAGTCAAGATTTAAAAACTTTCAAGTTCATATTTAAAAAATTTTAACTCAAAAATTAAAATTTTCAACTCAAAACATGCTAGAGATAAAAAAAATCGAAAAAAGTGGGGGAAAAAAGCAAAAAAAAAAACTGTAAAAAAAGAAAAAAATAAGGTGGAGGAGGCGCACGCGTGCCGGCGCGAGCCCGAAACACGCACCACCAGCGCGCACATATTAGCTTTTCCGCAAAAAGAGCCAGATGACTGAGCTATACTCAATCAGCTCTAGGCAAGCCAATTGGGCTGAGCCAGGCCAAGTGCCACAAGTGGCCAACTAGCTCGGCTGGTCCTTGCATCAGGAAGCGGGCCAAACAGGCCAAGAGGCCAAAATGATACTAATTTAGAACAGAAAAAAAAAAAGGGCAGGAGAGGAAAGAAAATATAAGAAAAATAATCAAGTAGCAATATGGAGTATAAAATAATACACAAGATTTTATTTTCTATATCCACCCATAATTTGCGTTTCCCACATACATGGCTTTCTCTACGTACATCGCAATTTGTAAACCCATAATTTTTTTTGTTTTTATTTTTGTCCCTGTATTTTCTAAGTTAACCAGACATTTGCCCCTGTTTTTGGCAGAAGTTAGTAGAATGTGCTTGTTGGGTTAAAGAAGTAGGAAAACAAGAAGTAATGATTTCCTATTTGTTTATTCACCTTTATACCCTTTGTCATTTTGATTTATGGTGTGTTTGGTTGCAAGCCACACTTTGCCACACTTTGTCACGCCTAAGGTTAGGCAAATTTGATAGGTGTTTGGTTGTACCCACGGTTGTGGCAAGATTCCTTTCCAACAAATTGGGTCCCACGTGTCAATGGTTCAAAAAAATGTGGCAAGATTCCTTTAGGCTTAATAAGTTGTGACTAACAATTTGATCACCTCACCTTAGGCAAGGTGTGGCAATTTCTATTGGCAAGTAATGGCAAAGTGTCGCTAGGAACCAAATAGCCCCTTAGCCAATCTGTCGCAAACTACTTCTCCAATCCTTTCTCAATCCTTCTCCAATCTATTGTTGAGCGTGTGAAGGAAGCAGCGGCTGCAGGTCCGCGTGGGGAGAATGTGACAGCGATGGCAGCTCCATGCGTGGAGAAAGTGCCGATGGCTCGGCGTGAGGAGCATGCAACCACGGCAACGACACCGCATAGGAAGGAAGCGAGGGCGGCGATGGCTCCACGCGGGGAGGAAGCGAGCGCGGCGGGGGCTTGGTACGAGCAGGAGGTGATGGCTCAGCTAAGCGGCGAGGGTTCAATATGGAGAGGAAGCGATAGCGACATCTCGGCCGCCAAGCGGAGGGAAGGAGACGACGAAAATGGCGGCTCAGTGCTGGGAGTAGGAGGCCATGGCTCAACGTGAGGAGCCGGAGGCTGCGGTGCCACACCGTGAGCAGAGTGCAAGGGAGGTGCGGTCCTACAACAAGTTGGCCGGGGGAGGGGGGGGAGGTGAATGCGATGGCAATTGGTGTCGACTCGACTTCGGGACTGGATATTGCTTGATTTTGAGGAAGTGGCAGGGGAGGAGCAACATGCTGTGGGAGTGCTGTGGGAGTGGATTTGCTTGACTTGTGATTTGGATTTTCTTGACTAAGTGATGCTTGCTACAGTTCTGCTTGTGTAAAATATGTGTCAAAATTGTGCCCTATCATTTTCTTTGTCAAAATGTGTCCAAATTTTATCAATTTGTGGCACAATTATGTCAAATTTTGTTTATATTCTATCAAATTTTTTGTCAAACTTGCAATAGCAAGTAAGGGTATGGATGTCTTTTTGCCAACGATTTAACACTGTCAATATGTCCATACAAATTAGGGTTAAAACTAAGGTTCGTTTCAGAAAAAAAATAAGGGCAAAATTGAAAACCTAAAAAAGAAGAATAAAATCAATAGTAAACATTAAAAATACGAATAAAATTGCCCCTTTTAATAATGTGATGGTTTGTTTTTAACTGTGTTTTTACTATGTTTCAAAAATTTTAATTAAGCTCATACTTTCTCAGTTCTAAAACATAAGGATTTTTAGGTTATTTAGCACGTACGAAAATTAGGTCAAAACGATTCTTTTTATCATTTTATGTCAATTTTAAGTTTTAAATTGATTTTTAAGCATCTCATTGTCTTTGGAACCATAGAAATAGAAATGATGAAAATAATAGGATTTAGTGCAAGAATACCTACGTTATGGTATACAATTTGAATGCAAATTTAAGAACGGAAGAAGTATAAACTAAAAAAAATCCAATCACTCCTAAAAATTAGGGAGAACACAGTGTAAGGATGTGTTCGTTTGAACGACACAATAAAAAGAAAATTATCGATTAATGCGTGTACGTTTTTCAAACGGTTAAACGGTAATTTTTTTTACAAAATATTTCAATAAAAAAGTTATTTAAGAGAACATATTAATCCATTTCTTAAACCTAAAATAATTAATACTCTACTCAATTAACGATAGACTAACTTGTTCTACGTATCTTCCCTCTTCTCTTTGCCACTCCTACAGTCCTACCCACAGCCTAAACCCAAGGAACCAATGTCCGAAAACCTAAAAAAAACGGAGTTGCTAGAAATATGGCGCCATATGCTACAGTCGATTTTTTTTTAGCCACTTACACAGTAGTTACACCTCATTTACACCCCACTTACATATGTAATTAGTATATGTAATTTTCAAATTTACATATGTAATTTTAGTACTTACATATGTAATTTTGAGACTTACATTGTAAATACACTAAAATTATATATGTAATTTAGGGACTTACAATGTAAGTATATACCGACTATTTTTTGATAAAAAATATGACGCCATAGATATGGCTGCAAAAAAAAAAAAAAAAGACCTTCCCTGCCGCGTCCACGTACAATGAACCTCATATGCCCCCACCTGCAACTGCAAAGCTGTCCATGTACAATGCGCATGCTAACGCGGGCCACAGCCGCTGACAACGCGGGCCCACACGATCCCCCCTCTCCCCTGTCTTAAACCCCACACAAACACGACCCAACGCCTTCCTCTCCTCCTCTCTCTCTCCCCCGCTCCTCGCGCCGCCGACATCGCCGGAGAAAATGAGTCAACAAGGGGAGTACCACGCCGACATGATGGCGGAGTTCCTGCGGGGGAGCGGCGGCGCGGCCGTGATTGACGGCGGGCTGGCGACGGAGCTGGAGGCTAACGGCGCCGACCTCAAGGACGCCCTCTGGAGCGCCCGGTGCCTCTTCACCTGCCCCGACCTCATCCGGAAGGTCCGCCTCCGCCTCCTCCTCATCTGCCCCTCTCCCCCTTTGCGCTCTCGGTTGATCCATTCGTACACCTGCTTGCTTCGTCTCGCGTCTTGTCGTGTCTCGTGTGTATTTGGTTCGCTGGATGTGCAATGGGGGATGCAATGCCGAATCTATTATATTGGCCTATTGGGGGAAATGGTTTTTGGCCCGTGTTGGAGCTTTGTCTCAGTGTGGCTTGAGCTATCTCGCCGTTCTGAGAAGCCTAGATGCTGCAGGGATGTGGAATGCCTGATTTTTGCTGCGGAAAAGGAGAGCACTGTCGCCTTTCCAGCAATATCCGATTTCTCTGTAGACTTGTTGTACTTTACAGTGTGGTTGCTGTGTCATATGTGCTCAGCTAGCCTTCTAGGTGTAAGGAAATCAGGAAGCAAGAACTTCAGTTCAATGGTTTAGCAAAAAACAAAAAAAAAGAAAAATATTTCTTTTTTTTAACCTGAATCAAGGTGTACTCCCTCTGTTCCAAAATAAACCAACCACGTGCGGGATGTGACACAATCAGTGTGGTTTTTTTTGGGATGGAGGGAGTAAGCTTGAAGCCATACTGATAAGAAACATATTATAGTGGGTGTTCTTTTTTTCTTTTTGTTGATTCCAACATTGCATGTCATAACTCATGAGTGAATAGTAATCGCGTTGCCTTTGTTTGAACAGGTTCATTTGGACTATCTTGAAGCTGGGGCAAGTGTTCTGATAACAGGATCATATCAGGTATATATTCATTGGTTTCTCAAACATCCTTCAAGTAAAGTTGATGATAAGCAGCTAATTAGCATGCAACATTGCTATTACAGGCCACAATTCAGGGCTTCCTTTCAAAGGGATTTTCTCAGGAGGAAAGTGAATCATTCCTGAGGAGGAGTGTTGAACTAGCATGTGAAGCACGGGCTATTTACCTGGAAAAATGTTCTAACGGTTCGGACGAAGCCAAAGACGTAACAAAATACAGGAAGCGCCCAATACTAATTGCGGCATCAGTTGGTTCTTATGGAGCATACCTAGCAGATGGCTCTGAGTATAGGTTGGTTAACAATAATGAAATTAATGAGCAATCTGTATCAGTATTTGCTTAATGGTTCAGGAAACTTTTTGCCTGAATCAGTTCTGAATTTCTGATTCCGTTGAGAGCTTTCAGATATTTTACATCTGACTAAATTTTTCTGCAGTGGTGACTACGGTAATGAGGGCACTTTGGAGTTCCTCAAAAACTTTCATCTGAGAAGGCTTCAAGTCCTTGCTGAAGCTGGTCCTGATGTTATTGTTTTTGAAACTATTCCAAACAAAATTGAGACTCAGGTATGTTTGGAAAGTGGAACTGTATATTGTAATGCAGATTAAAGTAGTAAGGAACATAAATAGACATAGAAGTGGCAATGCAATTGATACTGAGTTAACACTCATCTTTTTGTACTGGAGTATTTCAGTCAACATAGCATAGTCCATTACCTGTTTAATACTGGACATATATTTCAAACCATGATCCGTGGTCAGTGGGATACTGTAAAAAGTATTTTTGTTGCACAAATTATGTTTGATTTGTTGAAGCTCAGCATTTCTTCCACATTCTTTGCTGATTCTACTTATAGAAAAGGATTTGGCAGTTACGTAAAAAAAAATCTGGCAAGAAAACTTTCTTTTAGTGTACATTTCAACTAGGAGTTCGTCTGTTTCAAACTAACCAAATAAGCGTTGTTGGCCTGATCAATGTAGTTGCAATCAGTGAAATAATATGATCTTTTGCAGGCATATGTTGAACTACTAGAGGAGTGTAAATTACGTATTCCGGCATGGTTTGGTTTCACTTCAAAGGATGGAGTCAATGTAGTAAGTGGTGATTCCCTGATAGAGTGTGCCTCTATTGCCGATTCATGCAAGGAAGTTGCTGCAGTTGGTATTAATTGCACTCCCCCAAGATTTATCCATGAATTAGTTTTATCCATCCGGAAGGTAACTCCTATTACGGTTGTATTGATCCCTAAACATCATTGACCACATAATAAATTTATACTTTCCGTTGCGCAGGTGACAAGTAAACCAATATTAATATACCCAAATAGTGGTGAGAGCTATGATCCTATAAGAAAGGAATGGGTGGTAAGTACCAGTTAAATGAATCATGATAAAGTTGACAATATAGCTACTCATTATTGTGTTCGTGTTGACTTGCAAATATTAGGAAAAAAAACTATTTCAAAGAAAAAAAACAGAGGAACCTCTACTGTCATTAGGATAAAATTTGGTTTTCTTTATACCCATATATGAGAATGAGATGGCAAAATGATAGTATCTTCTATTCAAATATCTGAAGCTAACATTATGTTAATGTGTATACGATTAATACAGCTCTTTGAAACTCCATGCAGGAATGCTCAGGGATTTCAAATGAGGATTTTGTTTCATATGTCAAAAAATGGCATGAGGCTGGGGCCTCACTGATAGGGGGTTGCTGCAGAACAAGTCCAGATACGATAAGAGGAATATCGAAGGCTCTGCATGGAGTTTAGTTGATGGAGATTGAGTAGAGTTGATAGCCAGTTTTTGGACAGAGTCGCTAACTCACTCTGTTTGCCCGATGTGACACAGGTCTTATTGGTCAGGTAGTCAGATTTCTTATGGAATTTGAATAGCTATTGAGGACAATGATTTAGGAAAAAAAAAAAACTAATGCTGTGTTGTTCTTTCATTAGCTTGTACCAGCACCTTTATTGATGAGGAAATGATGCCAAATGTTGGCCTAGAAGGAGTTGCTACTCTTCTTAATTCTTTACTTCCTGATTGATTCCCCTCATTTATCCTCCAGCGTTCAACTTCAAGATGCGCGCAGGAGAACAATCGCTTTGCTGTTATTAGTGCATATACCATGACAAATTTTGTGGCAAAAAATCTAAAGAAACTAGACTAATACTCCCTCCGTCCCTAAATATTTGACGCCGTTGATTTTTTAAAACATGTTTGACCGTTCATCTTATTTAAAAACTTTTGTGAAATATGTAAAGTTATATGTATACATAAAAATATATTTAAGAATGAATCAAATGATAGGAAAAGAATTAAGAATTACTTAAATTTTTTTTAATAAGATGAACGGTCAAACATGTTTTAAAAAGTCAATGACGTCAAATATTTAGGGTCGGAGGGAGTATTTTATTAGTACATGATTGTTACACATATTCCCGTTCATCTATAGAGCAAAGGAGGCAAATTGGAGTTACTGGGTAACTCAGACTTTCTAACACTGATCATGATTTTCATGATGGTAGTATATGGCTACAATTTTCTCATGAAACTTCATTCATATTTGAAACGAGAAACACACAAACTATGTACAGTTCTTGTGGAAGTTATGTTTGGAACTACATAAATTTCGCTCGAATTTCACACTTACTAGTAGGTTCTAAGCACAAAAGCCAAAAAGGGTTAGGAGGATTAATCACCAAAATCAAGGATTGTGAAGGTTCAATGTGCAAATTTGCCTTCGCAGTTAATCAGGTTTAGGTAGGGTTTCCTCCTCCCCTTCCGCCTCCGCCCCAGCGCCGCCGTCGTCCCCCTCCTCTCCGGCGAAGAGCCGCCGTCGCCGCCATCACCGGAGCGAGCCACGGTAGCAACCGCAACCACCACAACCATCACCATCCTCGTGAGCCGTCAAGGTCAGTCCCCACTCCCTCCCGCCTCGACCAACCCATCCATTCCCCCATTCCCCCCCTCCCTCTTCTCTCCTCCCGACCTAGCCACGACCATGATGGCCACGCTCGCGAGGAGATCGATGGTGGCCTTGGGCCGTCGCGCTCTGTGCTCGGGCAGCGACCTGGAGGCGGCGGCGCGCGAAGTCGTGTGCTCCGGGGCGGGGAGCCTCGACGAGGTGGGCGGCGCGCTGGACCGCCTGGGCGTGGCCGTGTCGCCGGCCATGGTGGCGAGGGTGATCGATGCGTGTAGCGAGAGGATGGGTTCAGGGAGGAGGCTGCTGCGGTTCCTGTCCTGGTGCCGGTCCAAGGACGCCGGTGGAATTGGGGACGAGGCGTTGGATAGCGCGATCGCGGCGCTCGCCCGGATGGGGGACCTCACCGCGATGAGGATCGCCGTCGCCGACGCGGAGAAGGATGGCCGGAGGATGTCCCCGGAGACGTTCACCGTTGTCGTCGAGGCACTCGTGAAATTGGGGAAGGAGGATGAGGCTGTTCGGTTGTTTAGAGGCTTGGAGAGGCAGAGGTTGCTGCCTCGGCGCGACGCGGGTGATGGAGGGGAAGGCGTGTGGTCGAGCAGCCTTGCAATGGTGCAGGCATTGTGCATGAAGGGCCATGCTCGCGAGGCGCAGGGCGTCGTGTGGCACCACAAGAGCGAGCTCTCGGTAGAACCCATGGTTAGCATCGTTCAGCGTAGCCTGCTCCACGGGTGGTGCGTCCATGGGAATGCGAAGGAAGCTCGGAGAGTCCTTGATGATATCAAGTCTTCGTGTACCCCACTGGGTTTGCCATCATTCAATGATTATCTGCACTGCCTGTGCCATAGGAACCTCAAGTTTAACCCTTCTGCGCTTGTCACTGAGGCTATGGACGTCTTATCGGAGATGAGGTCCTATGGTGTCACCCCGGATGCATCTAGCCTCAACATCTTGCTTTCTTGTTTGGGACGAGCAAGAAGAGTGAAAGAATCATACAGAATCCTCTACTTGATGAGAGAAGGAAAGGCAGGGTGCTCCCCTGACTGGGTTAGTTACTATCTTGTGGTCAGGGTCCTGTATTTAACAGGGAGAATTATTAGAGGGAAAAGGCTTGTAGATGACATGCTTGAAAGTGGGGTGCTTCCGACTGCAAAGTTTTTCCATGGTCTCATAGGCGTTCTATGCGGGACTGAGAAAGTTGACCATGGGCTTGATATGTTCAGACTTATGAAGAGGTGTCAGTTAGTGGACACACATACCTATGATCTTCTTATAGAAAAGCTTTGTAGGAATGGGAGATTTGAGAATGGAAAGGAGTTGTGGGATGATGCTAAAAAGAATGGCTTTATGTTAGGATGTTCAGAGGATCTTTTGGATCCCCTGAAAACAGAGGTATTCAGACCAGTTTGTGCAGCACAAAAACTGAGTTCGCAGAGCAATAAGCGCTTGGTCCAAAAGAAGAAGATTGGTTCAGTTGAGACAAGAAAGAAGGGAGCTGCTAGAGCAGCCACGAGGAAATAGAGGGTCTAGGTACTACCATGTTTGAGTAGATTTGCTTGTTACTATTTGATTCTGAAATTCTTTTGTGATAACCCTTGTTAACGTGTTACCAGTCACTCAGGCATCGATCTTTTTTCTGAACATGAGCATAATCACCTAAGGTTTAGTTTCGTTAGAGCTGTTACTGTAAAGGCACTGCAAACCATTCACATTACTATGTGCATTTGTTAATTCAATGTAAACTTGTTTTTATATCAGTAAAGCAGCTATTCTTATTGCCAAATAGAAAAGCCACCCCACTTATTGATTTGGAAATGAACTTATAATCTTCTTGAGCAGCTACTCCTAATGTTAAAGTTGTTCACAAAGCACAACAATATGGTTGATTTTTATTGTTTGACTGACATCTTATTTCGCTCGTTTTTCTTTCTCCAATGCAGTTTTCGATTGAAGGGCAGTAGGGCACGTTATACTTATGGACTCAACTCAGGAACAACAACAGGATTTTGGTGTGCTACTGAAGCAGGGGGCGGAGGGAGTGAGTCAGGAGTCAATATATTTAGTTGCAGTTTCTTACTTTTACTTGTTTGTTCATAGTTTGTTTTGTTTGTTGCAGAGGGTATTTGTTTCAACATTTGTGGGACGGAAGTGTGTAATCAAAGAGCGGTTTTCAAAGAAGTACCGACACCCATTGTTGGACTCAAAGTTGACTCTTAAACGCTTAAATGCTGTCAGTTTCCATAACTAACATGCTTTATTTTTAGATATTCCTGTTTTCTGTGTAGAGCATTTCTCTGATTTTCTTTGTATTAGATAAATCAAAGGCTAAAAGTGTTCAAATATTGATTGAGTTGTAGTAATATGGTAAACTGCAATATTTAGCTAAAAAAGGTTGCACACAACTACTTATGTTGACTGAAATTCGTGTTGGCTTGATTCTCTCTTCAATATGTAGGAAGCTCGATGCATGACAAAAGCAAGAAAGCTTGGTGTTCCCACTCCAGTTCTTTATGCCGTGGACCCACTTCTGCATACATTAACCTTTGAGTATGTGGATGGCTTATCTGTGAAAGATATACTCCTTGGATTTGGGTCAAACGGGATCAATGAAGAACAACTCATTGACATCGCCACACAAATAGGAAATGCAGTTGGCAAACTACATGATGGAGGCCTTGTTCACGGTGATTTGACCACTTCAAATATGATAATCAAGAACAACACAAATCAACTCGTGTGTAGAACTTCCTTTCTGTCAGTTCATGCATTTTCTTGAGTCATTTAATTCAAGACTTACATCCGAGCTATTAATGTGCCACTCAATGTGTTCATATTCCAGGTTCTTATTGATTTTGGTCTGAGTTTCATATCAACTATTCCTGAGGACAAAGCAGTGGACTTATATGTGCTTGAGAGAGCATTGATTTCTATGCATTCATCATGTGGTGATGTGGTAAGGAATTGCATAAATGATAGTCCCAAATGATAACTACTTTAGTTTGTTTACTTCACTCCTTGATTATTACTTAATTGCATTATGGAATATGGAGTTAAACTCACCCTACAGAAAATTTATGACCATCCTTGTTGGGCTTAACCATTTTTTACGCTTTCACATGCTATTGGTGGAATCATGTTTTGGGTGGACACTTGTGTAGAAAGTACATCTATTTCGTTTAGTCGTTCTGAGATTTGGGGATCTGCTGTATCTGTATTCCATGTCCTATGACTATCTGATTGGTTTATTGACTTCATAATGGCTTAAAGGAGATTATTGTTTAGAGAAATCTTTTGACAAGTGTGGATGGCCATGTTTCCATTCCACGATGTCCCATAAGTCTCAGATGTTCTACGGGAGCATCGCTTATCTATGACAATCACTGCCGTTATTATTATTCTTTCTGTTTCGATAAGACGATAACAGCAATCCATTTTATGATGAACTAGATGGAGAAGATTCTCACGGCGTACAGAAAAGCTTCAAAGCAATGGTGCGCTACTACGAACAAGCTAGCTCAAGGTATGGCCATTGTACTGATCCTTAAGCGAAGCACCACACAATCCATCACTCATTTTACCATCTCGCCTTGACTTGCTTCTGTTCTTACCAATTTTACAGTCAGGCAACGTGGCAGAAAGCGAACAATGATTGGATGAAAGTTAAGCTGGAACTTGCTGGACAATACAGTTGCTCGACCAGATGATTCAACACTTTACATTCTCATTCCCTCAATATGTACTAGTTCAGTGGCATTGCTTCATGTAACATTTGAATGGAAAGGAATCGTTAATAGTGATGATTATTTTAGCTTTCACTATGAATCGCAAAAATATTATATCTGCTAATTTAGTGTATCAGATGCTGCGTTAAGGTGAATGGTTTATGGTTGTGAATGGCAGTGCATGTGATTTGAGCTCATTGATCCAGCTAAAAGTAAACAACATCATATCATATTTCTGTTGGTACATTGACAATTTAACAGGAGCACCACAATGATGAAGAACTCCGAAAAGTTAGGATAATGCAGAGCATGCTCTTCGTTGTGAAGACAATAGTTTGCAACTTGTGTCGCTTCAAATAGATTTGATTTGTCAGATGGGCCTTTTTTTTTTGTGCTAATTTGCACGAGGCTCGTTGCTTGATCAAACCTTGATCACGTCAGGGTAAAACTCTTTGCATAATCTGCTAATTAGTTGCTTTGATTGTCAGCTTGTGCTAGTATAGGCAAGTGCGACCTAACGTTGACCCTGACAGCGGTCAACGGGACCCGTCCGACCTGTGTTTGGGCCGTTCTTGGGCCTGCTGGATAGCGATGATTCGAATTTTTTTTTATTTATAATTTTTTTTATTAAAAGTTTTACAAAAATAATTTTCCATTTTGAAAATTGACGGAAGTAGTCGCCTACCGCCCTAAATCGCCCTCCCAGAGGGCGGCGAAAATGACGTGGCAGCCGGTCGTTCGCTCTCGGGCGACGGCCGTCAACGAAATTTGCAGGCGGCCCCCTTGCCGCCCTCCGCTAGGGCGATTTTATACTGTGCGGGGGGCCGCCTGCAAATGGGCGGCGAGGGGGGCATGGAATTTTGCGCGGCCCCCTTACCGCCCTCCGCTAGGGCGATTTTGTACTGTGGGGGGGCCGCCTGCAAATGGGCGGCGAGGGGGCATGGAATTTTGCAGGCGGCCCCCTTGCCGCCCTGGGGGAGGGCGATTTTATACTGTGCTCTATATTTTTGTATAAATATCAATAGTTATCAAATCTTTTTATATTGAAAACTATACAAGATTAAAATCTCCAAGACTGGTAAAATACAATTTTATTATTTTTTAGGGCATATTTGGATTGTTACCGTACAAATATTTTGTTAGTGCCAAAATATAAGCAAGTTTTGGCACTACCAAATATTTGGTAAGGTAAAATTGCATTTGATCATATTTGGTTTGCTGCCAAAATGTAAAATTGTAGTGAAGAATGTTCTACATAATCTCAAATCTAGATTACGTATTACCAATGAATAGGCTTCCATTTTCGTGTGTGGTGTGCTAGTGGGAAAGAAGATATGAAGAGGTTGCCTTCAGATTGTCAATTATATAGCGTCGTTTTCACTGCAATATATGTGAACTCAATGAGATACATTATTCATTAGATGTGACAAGACGATCACGCGTGGGCGTGATTCACTTTATGTCAACAGGCAGCGCCGAAAGTTGATAGTGATAACTCGAAAATCCGCTTTTCATGTGTGCTGTTGTGGACTGTGCGCGCTACTGGATCTGACACTACCGTGAAGCGCCGAAAGTGTGTTGTCGTGAGCATAAGTTGTTCTAGTACCATATGAATGAAAAGAACTATGTAGACGAGACAAACACAAGTAGTACTGCAGTAGTAATAGCAAAAGTAGTACTGCTTTACAAGTTTGTAAGCCAAAAGAAACGGTCACATAAGGACTGAAGAGGTAGAACACTACTGACGAGGCCTCTTACCCCTGTCCCTCCTACCCTGCGCCCTAATGTGCCCCTGGGAGTACGTGAGTCGGTCCGGGGGTACGGCACGGCCAACCCGTCCTGCCTGTACAGGTATGACCTCTGGCTGCTCCTGAGTGTGCGCCTCTGGAGCTCCTCCAAGCTGAGAGGAGCCTAGTACGTCGTGGTGGTGTGCACCGTGCAAGTCGTCATCGTAGAACTGGCTAGTAGGACCAGTCCTACCGGCGTGAGACGAAGAGGCCCCAGTACCGAAGATCCCGGCTGCAAATCCTGCTGGACAAGGACCATCAGTTTCGTACAAGTATTTAACAGTAGTAATAAAAAGTAAAGTACCGTGTGGGCGAGGGATCGACGCTCCGTGAGAGGAAGAGCTGGCGAACGCGCCCGAAGAGGTGGCGAACGCCCCTGCGGAGCTCGCGGAAGCGCCGGTCGTGCCTGCGAACGCGCTCGAAGGCAGACGAGGTCCTGCGATGAGGAAACGTGCAGTTAAAACATGGTGACATATTCGTGCAAAAGCTGAAACAAAAATGAACTAATATCTGGGCTGAACTGTACCGTGCGAAACCGGTGCTGTAGGTCGCACTGCTCCGAAGCTAGGGGCGCTCGAAGGCAAACGAGGTCCTGCGAGGATGGAACATCAAGTTACGACGGGGTGATGTTTTCGTAGAAAAACAGAAACAAAACTTAAAAAACCTCTGGGCTGAGCAGTACCGTGCGAAACAGGTGCCGTAGGTCGAGGTCCTGCTCCGACGGTAGGCGCGCGAGGCCGTGGTTGTACCGGACCAGCTGGAGGTACGACGTCCACGGCGCTGCGACAGGAGAAGACGCGCATGACAGCACGCATCTTCTCCTGCATCCGGTCGAAGGTCACCCTCTGCTCAACGTCAGTCAAGTGCAAACCTCTGTTCAACCTCACTTGGACTGCGGTGATATCGGCACTGATATCCCGTGCGGCATCAGCCTATGCAAGATGGAAATAAAAAATTCAGTAGTTGTCCTATATTATGCAAGATAAATGAAATAATTGTAAGAAGTAATACAAATTGGACGTACCGCCACGAAGTAGTCTCGGTCACGGTGCGTGGGATACGCGTCCGTGACAGCGGCAACGTGCGGCTCTGGGGCGTCTGGAGTGAAGGTCACACGCGCACGAGTGCGAGGAAGGTACCAGCGAAGGTAGTCACGGTAGTTCTCCTCCGTGTGTGGGAAGAGCTCGTTGATCACCTCCTCTGTAGCTAACACCCAGTCGTCAACGTACTGCTGTACACGTGGAGCCCAAAGTGCGCCTGCTAGCTGTCCCCGTCGAGTCAACCTGTGAAGAGAGGTAAATTATATGGCTCGATGAAGTAATTATCATAAAAATTTAGAAATGAACAATCCGAACTCACGAGTGGTCGGCAGGGAGGACGGTCGGCTGCACGTTGCCCGGAAACACCTGCCTAAGTCCGAACTGTCTCATCACACGCTGCGGGCAGTGAGGCTCAACGAAAATGTCGAACACCATCGGCAGGATGGTGAGCCAGTAAGCCTGGTCGCGTGTGCACAAGGACGAAAGTCCTAGCGGTGCTCTCGCAGCGACGGCCTCTTCTGTGTACGGCTCCCAGATGACGTCGCTCGGCTGGAGACGGTCAAACTCGAACACGAAGTCCGGGTAACCACGTCTCACCTGGACGTGAGCGTAACGACGCTGCAATAAACATGATCGGAATTAGACATGTTATGTGAAGAAAAAAAAAGAAGACGACTGATAAACTTATAACGCAGCGAAGTTGCACTAACCCCACGTCGACACCAGTAAGTCCCCATCGTGGGACCGTCCTCTGGCCACTGCGCGCTGCGACCAACCCCGTAGGGTGCGCTGTCCACCACTGGTCGACCTATGGCAAACCTCTCCGCTGCCCAAAGCTGAAGCAACATAGGGCAGCCAGCGATGATCGCTCCCGCGTCAGTCTTCGTGCACGCCTCACAAAGGGCACGGTACGTGGCTGCTAGCACGGCAGAACCCCAGCTCCACTGCGGCACGTCCTGTGGCTGAGCATCCGCGATGGACCGTGCGTAGTGGACCAGCCGGAAGTCCACAGCGTGCCCGTGGGTGCTAGTGAACATCACCCACCCGAACAACCACAACAGGTACGCCTCAAGGGAGCGTCGGACCGAGTAATCATCAGCGTCAGGGTGCAGAAGGTCCGCCTACAATTAAGAATGAAATGTTAGTACAAAACACTCATCCGGTCGCAAATAAGCATGTATGATAATAACAACTTATTTACTTACAGTGAACTGGAGCAACCAAGCCTTGCTAGGCCCGACTGTAGAGTACGGAGGAAGGGTGTTGGCCGGTCCTAGGTGTGGAAGGCGCATCACCTGCTCGAAGCGCGCAGTGATATCCTCCTTCCACCCAAAAACACCGTCCACGGGACCAACTGGTGCTCCCGCCAGCGGTAGCCCGAGCAGGTACGACACGTCCTGCAGTGTCGGAGCCATCTCCCCACAGGGAAGGTGGAACATGTGCGTCTCAGGTCTCCAGCGGTCTACAAGAGCGGCAAGGAGTGACCGGTCTGCATCCCACCGCTTCGCTGGGTCACGGTCGTCCGCCGCCGCCTCAACAAGCCTACAAAGTGGTAGAAGGCCTGCCGCACGCAACCTGTATAGAGCAAACTTCAAACATAAGTACAACACAAAGCAAAGTTGAGTTGAAATGTGAACATACGCGTACCAAGGAACGTGACGGGGGTCGACACGCAACCACTCGCGCGACGTGCGTGGACGGAAGGTGCCGAGCTGTGCACCCTCGACTGCTGACAGGAACGAGCGGTGGTTCCTGTCAATCCCACGGTTCAACAGCGCCGGTGTGTCGTACGCCATACCTGCATCAAATAGGTTGATCAGAAACATATAAATAATTAGTTCAACATAAGTAATAAATGTTCATAAGCGAATTACTAACACATATTAAACAAGAGTACAAACAAACAAAAGTGTTTAGTCCGAACAGTCATCACGATAACATTATGATACAACACCGAATAGTTCGCAATACTACTAGTACAACAATAGTCGGAGGTACTCATTACAACAACATTGAATTGAAATTACACGATAGAAGTATTTAGTCCGAACACTCATTACATCACAACAGCATTTTATTTCCTAAATCGAAAGCATTGTTACACCATGGAATCGCCTGCTGCGCGACGACGCCTTGGCCTTGCGCGCCTGCTTGTTGTTCCTTCACCAGGTGGTCGCCTACCATCACTTGCCTGTCCAGATGGACTAGCATCTGCGCCGCTTGGAACTTCTGCATTCTTCGGGCATTTCTTGTAAGTATGGCCGCGCAGATCACACTTGCTGCAGCGTAAAGTCCTCCCACCTGCTTCTGACTCATCCATATCATTTCTGATGCGTCTAGTTTGGCGTCGACCCTTTTCACCCTTAACTT